GTCAGTAGTTCCCTGGGTCATCCTCCTTGCCCTTTTTGAAGACTGGGGTGACGTTTTGTTTTTTCCAGTCCTCAGGCACCTCTCCTGAACTCCACGATCTTTCAAAGATGATTGTGAGCAGCCTCACTAGGGTGCCTGTGAGCTCTCTCAGCATTTGTGGATGCATCCCATCAGGTCCCATGGACTTGTGGATACAAAGTTTGCCTAGATGTTCTCTAACCCAATCCTTTTTAACCAAGGGAAAGTCTTCCTTCCAACATTCCCTAACCCTGGGTGACCCCTCCAACCTGACGAGCCTTTGTGCACATTCTCATTTTTCTGGTCCTCAGATTCCAGGGCCTCATAACTAATGTATGAAGACACCCGGGAAGATGAGGTGTATTGGGAGGGAATTCTCCTGCCAGCCTGAGCAGAAACCTGTTTCTGCTCCCCTCCATCTTTAAGGTCCCTTACTTCTGCCTGGTGGAGAGTGGGTAGGGGACCCACCACTTCTCGTGAAGTGGATCGTGGGTGCATTTGTCTGAGGCATGGTAGAGAGCAGACACTTGTCTTTGCCTTTGTGAAAATTATCTATTCAGACTGTGGCCAGTCCCATAAGGAGTGCATAACCTCACTTCCCCCTTAACTACATCCTAAACAAACCCTTATATTAGCAAACCTCTCCAGTCCTTTCCCTCTCTTGCACTGCCCAACCAGCTCACACACTGATAATCTACAGGACCAGCTAATCTGTCCATACCTTTTCAGACCATGACAGCACATCTTGCTTGTTTTGATTCAACAATATAAGGAAGAAAAAATAGAAAGACACTGAGTTGCATGAATAGGATGGTGGCAAGACTGAACCTAAGTAAGAAAAGTGGAAAAAACAGTAAGGTCCCTAGAATCATGATCATGCACACTGTGCAGACTTCAACATGTTGTGGAGATCAGGGTAGCAATGAACAACAAGAAAAGGCTCAGTCATCAGGAAGGGGCTGAGGAATTCAAGTAATTCAAGTATTTTACAGTCTTTCCCTTCTAATTTTGGTATCTTCAGTAATGGTTCCAAGTGCATTAATGCCATGACACATTCCTGTTCAGTGTGCTTCCTCAGTTGGTGGCATTACATTTCAACAGAAATCACAGCTGGCATTAACTGGAAAGACTTGTCTTATTACTTTTTTTTCCTTCAGTGGAGCCATACAACTCTGAAAACGTGGAATTTGATTCAGACAAGCTGATAATGTTTCCTTATACAGCTACTTCAGAGAGCACTTTAGATTTTCGAATAAGAGACTTCTGTAGTCCACAAATTCCTTTCCAAAGTCATACATATTCATACATTTCCCTGCTTCCACAAGTCATAGTGAAAGCTGAGAAAAAGCATATTAAAATACAGGAAGATTTTTACTTTTATATTCATAGTATTTTTTACATTCTATGGAAGCTCAGATATAAAGTGAGTTTCTATACGTTATAAAAGTTCTTTTTATATAAAAAACACTCAACAGTGACTGAAAGAAGTTATCGACTGCAATGAGAACACTGATAGACAGGTCATAGTACCAAAGACTTCAGCTACTTACGCTGGCCCCACTGGCCACTGCTGGGATTCAGGTAGTTGGGGTAAAGGCCATCTGGCTTATCCAGTCGATTTAGAACTTTTCGGATATTCATGACCTAGTGGAAGGTACAAAACACTGAGCACTTATCCATTTCCCCCACAAAATACAGGAGTGTAAATATGCCTAAAAATAACCCCCCTGATCGTATTCAACACACATATCCAAACACCTCTGTGCAATCATATCACTTTTGAACAAGCTGATATTATCATGCAAACAAGTTCCTGAAAACCTCTGGAGTTTCTGTGTCAATTGCCAGCCATGAAACAACACAACAGGAGCAAGCTCTGAAGTTCAGGACTTGCCATGCAGAGTATCCTCCTTCTCCACAGGATACTGAAATTCACTGAGGCTCTTTGCCTTAACTAAGCTCTGCTACACCAGCATTTGTATTCCTTGTATACCTAAATCGGAAACACTATTAAATATTAAGGTTATCACCCAGTTCAGACGTGGAAGTGAACTGTAAAGGAGTTTTGCCTGGGAAGGAGAGCATGGCTGGAACTGACTGAGCTTTACACAACCAGCTTGCCCAGCAGCAGGGACCCAGGCAGCCCTGAGCACTCTGCCAGCACTGCTAAGGAGCTCACTACAAATGAGATGCCCGGGGAAACAATTACAGCCCAGATGCTCAGCAGCTGGAGCCATCCAGCAGCACAATCCACTGCAGAGCACATGAAATGAGTTACACTGAATTTTAGGATTCGCAGAAAAAGCAAATGTAGCAGCTTGGAAGAATGAGGATCCTGAGCACTGCAGGCCAGAAACTGTAACAAAAAGGTACTGACAGCTTCATTATAAACTCCTGAGTGCCTAGAGACCCAGTGAAGTAGCTACTGAAAAAGAAGATAAATTAACTTATACCAAGCTGCAGAAGGATTTCTGTTGTGGTATGCAAACTGCCTCCTGCATCTTGACACTACTCACTGCCCAAATACAGGCTGCAATGAGTGCTAGACCTCAGTTAATGAGTTCTTCTATGAATACGTCCATGCAAAACTTATTCCTGTGTTTCTTCTTCTTTATCAAGTGTACCAGCCCTGGAATGGTTTGCCTCTGAGGGCTTTGGAATTGCAATCTCTAAAGGGTTTTAAGAACAGCTTACATAAACAGATTTCCAGCATTTTGCAGCTAGAGCATGATGCCGCTGTGTAGGAAAACCATGGGCTAGGATTTTTAAGATACACGCTTTCATTGTCTCTTAGTAGAACAGATGTTATGCATTAAATTACCATAAATGCCACAAGATAATTAACTTACGTTGTCAATTTGTTTCTGGCTATTCCTCAGTGCTGCCACTCCCTACCCATCCGCTCCCCCTCCTCAGTTCAAATTTAAGAGAAGCTGTCCTTAAATCTACCCCTAAATACAGGAAAATTGCTAGGAGTTTGCTCTACAAAATTTGTTCCAATGCAGACAATGGTACTGGAGCAAAGCCACTCAGTCCTTACCCAATAATAATTTTAGATTTGACTATTGCTTTTAGACTTACTGCTAAACATTTGGAGTCTCATCAATAATTAGATTATTAAGTCAATAATATCAGCTTTAGGTAACATGGGGCAGCTGCAGTAAGAATACAAAATCTAAACAAGTGTACATTTTAATTAGGAGATAAAATAAATGATAAAGTGTATTATAAAGAACAGGACTTGCTGGCTATTAGTATGTCAAAAAGCAAAGCAAAATTGTTCAGGTGGGAATTGAGGGAAGGAGGAGTTCTTTCTATGGCTCATGTAGATAAAAAAGTATCCAGAAATTATCAAATTTTGGAAGAATTACTATGCAGAACAACTATTTTGTCTAAGGATGTGACTTTTTTTCCTTCCCCAGAGATAGTTCAAAGTATATTTCTTAGAGGTCAGTGCAATGGAAGGGCTTTCTGACTTCACTGACAGCAGTGATATTATACAACATTTTGAAGAGTAAACTTGTGGAAATCACCATGGTGCTTTTCTTTCTCTAGACATCAGTTATTATCCCGAATATAATGTCAGGTTTTGTTTACACCCCATTAAGTAAGGAACTGAAGAAAGCTGTACAGTCTGATTGCTTAATGCGATACTAATTTAGAAGATAAACAGAAATTAAATGTTTTATGGGGCCATATACAGGAACATACATCAGAATAATTTTGGAAGAGACTTTTGACTTTTTAATACAAAAGCATGCCTAGGTGATTAGGGAAAATGTGACAAATTCTTACAGCTGAGGTAAATCCAAATTTCTCCCCATTCATATTAGTCTCTGAATATGTGATTTATCTTTTATAACATGATTTTGATAGAGCAGTCTAACCTTTTCAGCAAAGACAGGGTTTCCAGACAGGTGGCTCAAATGTACAAACTCCAGATGCAAAGTCCCAAATTCTGCCAAAATGCTGCTTCCACCAGAGGCCCATGGCCAATTTCGACCGATTCCACTAAGATGGGGTGAAGAGAAAGACAGAAAATAATCATGAGCATCTATAAGACAATGCTAATAAAATTTAATAGGCAGTAGCTATACCATTATCATGAGAAAATAATTAATCTGAAATGTACTTAATATGTATGTAAGGAGCCATGCTTCAGCAGCCTTCCACGATTTCACCACAGGACCTTGAATTATTTCAGTCCAGCTCTGCTTAGGCTTTACAGTTACTTCTTGCAACAACCCAATGCTTTAGCTCACAAATAGCTCCATTACACTTACCACTGCAAGAGTGTTTCATTGCAGCATATCATGTTTGAAGACATGACAAAAAAAAAAGAGTATAAGAAAGCATTCTCATACTCCACCTGTTTTCCATGTACTTAACACAACACTCTCCAATTCTAACTCTAATTTCTACAGCGGAATTGTTTATTAGCTTAAATTAATGCACATATACAGAATAGGCTTTAAGTTACAAGTATTGCATGCAGCATATCCTTCTTAATATATGAAACTTTAATAGTAAGTAATAGGATAAGTATGTATTTTCTGTCTAGGAACTCCTACCAAGATGAGTAACTGCAGTTTTAATTACGACCTAAAGATACTTCACACCAAAATTAATCTTAGGATTTGTGTTGAGAATAGAGAAAAGCATATATATTGCTAAATCCCCACTAGAAACTAATGCTGGTTGAGAATCAGGATGTCAAGTCTACTAAAGTTTCATTACAAAAAGGTGCTGTTTTTTTTCCCCTTGAGATTTCCAGCAGCAATATTCAGAAAAAAAACCCTTCAAATTAAAGTTAGCCAGTGTTCCAGAGCATCTAGGTGAATAATGACATATTAGATTGGCATATTATTAGGATGAATGTTACAAATAAATACATTTATTAGGTACTGGAACGTCTTCCACATTTCTGAGCTGTAAACAGCATTAAACACAAACACATCCATATATAAATAAAATTTTAATTTTACTTTTACACATAAGCAGTCACTACCGTCATCAATTAGCAGTTGCATCACCATGAAAATATAATATTCTTCCTGAGTTAAAATGTGACTTAAAACACCCCAAACCAGCAAAAAAATCCAATAAATCATGATGGAAGTTCCCAGATACATTAAAATATTCTCTTCAAAAGATCATATGTAACTGAAGCTTAACCAATACATGGAAATTAAGACTCCATTAAGTCAATCTCCCTGCTAGCTATATTAGCATGGTATTTTGAGACTTCTGCCAGACACACAAAATAAAACCAAGCCATTAAACTTAAAAAGCAGAGAAAAGGACAGAGAGCACAAAGGAAAGACATCTGATGAGGCTCCCCTGATTGACCATGAAGGTGCAAGAGGCTGGGACACATGTAAGTCCTCTGATGTAAATATTTGCCCAGAAAGTGTTTCTAATCTTCATAGCTGCAGACCAAAATCAGTGACACAATGAAATCAGGGTACTGCAAAGATGCACACAATCCCAATTTGATGGTATTTGTGCGACTGAAATAGAACACAAGTTTTAGGGTATCTTAATATCTCATTTTAAGATCTATCTTACAAAGATTAGAGTACTTTTTACAGAGTGAAGAGACCACACCACAAGCTGTCCACACTTCAATCTACAGTGGCTTGGAATTTTTTTTTAATGTTAACATAAAAGCATCAGATATTACAGAAAATAGGATCAAGGTGAGTACTGCAGACAACATGTCTGGAAACCTCTTCTCTGCAGTCTGAAGAACTTACAGACTGGTTATTCACCCAAGAACAGACCCCATCTCTGGAACACACTATCTCAAGTGCTAACTGTGACTTCTAGATGGAAATATTTTATCCAAATTATTTTTTCCAAATCACACAGATTAAAAGAGCTGACATAAAGTTCATAGGAAGAAAAAAAAAAATACCCTCAGAATTTCGAAAAGTTACCATGTTGTGGGACAAATGGAAAAAGTGCACATGCTTTTTTCTACCAAGTTGCTCAATCAATCTCCAAGTGAAAACATCAAGCTGTTCCTGCAGCAAGGCATCAACCAAAATTGACAGAAAATGTAATAGAGTTCCTACTTGCACTCTACTCCAGTGTCTGCTGATATCAACACAACCTGCCAGAACATTTTGATGTAGTGTGTTTTGTTAACAAGGAAAATTTCCAAACACAGCTGTCAAAAGGTTTTCTGCATGCAGCAATGTGTTTTGCCATGAGTGGAAGATTCTTCTTGTTTAAGATGGTTTGAAAAGTACAAAGTTGGATTCTTTGCTCTTAATGCAAAAAATAAGTAGAAATAAACATCTATGTTACATATTAAGTATTATTTAATGTAGCTTTCATTTTTTTCAGTTGGCTCAGGTGGTTAGGAAAAAAAGGCATCAACATATTTCTGGTAAATCTGCAAAATAACAAGGCTATGTGTTGGTTTAGCCTCAGATGTGAGCTCTGTCACTGAAAAGCTCATTTCAGTAAGTGGTAGGAACCAAGATTTGCACTTCAGACACTCAACTATTTTTCATGCAACCTTCAGCTATGGTTGTCTGGGATTTTCTCATATTATACAGTGGTCTGGATTGAAAGGAAAGAGACAGTAAAAATCATCTGGTTCCAACCCCCCTGCCAGGGGCAGGGGCACCTTTCACAGGTTGCTCAAAGCCCTGTCCCACCTGGCCTTGAGCATTTCATGCCACAGCTTCTCTGGGCAGCCAATTCCAGTGTCTCCTCACCCCTACATAAAAAAATTCTTCCTGTAATCTAAACCTAATCTCTTTTGGTTTGAAGCCATTCCTCCTTGTCCTATCGTGACCTGCCCTTGTCAAAAGTCCCTCTCAGCTCTCTTGCAGACCCCTTTAGGTACTGGAAGGCTGCTGTGAGTTCTCTCCAAACACTTCTCCAGGTTGAACAGCCCAATTCTCTCAGCCTGTCTTCATAGGAAGGGTGCTCCAGCCCTCTGATCATCTTCATAGGATATATTTCATCTTTGGGAGCAATGGAACAGGTAGGTTTTCTATATTCCCTCACACTAATTGGAACAGCCACAGTACTGCTTCTGATTCCATTTAATTCCATCCTTATTTTAAGGTGACAGTCCAGTGTGCATCATGTAGACAGTCTGCTCCTGAAGAGAGAGACCAGGAAATACTCATCAAAGCTTTCAGCTTAAAGAATGTGAGAGATTTCACACTCTGATCATTTTTGATTGGGAAAGTAGACTTTGACTTTTGTTTAACAGTATCTTGGCTTAAAAAAAAAAAAAGGAAATTAAGAGGATGCTCTTTTTTCAGCCCTGCCCTCCCCACTCTCCAAATCCTAAATATTGTATACTTTTAAACAAAACAGAACTTTGGAAAGAGAGAACCTGAACAGAGCAAAGTAAACGGAAAAAGACATCTGTGTCAGGGATTATAAACAACAAGCACATTTATAAATTATTTGAGGTGCCCTAGAAAATAACATGCAATAAATAAATCTAACAGCTCATTAAATTTTAATAACTACACATAGTAAAAGACTGATTTCTGCCCATGCATGAGATAACATAACCAATGCTCCCAACTCAGATATTTTTCAAGCTCTTCACCATTATCATTATCAGGGTAAACAAACATTTCTGTAAAGTTAAAAAAAGAGCAATGTAAAGTATCTATTTACTCTTCAGCCATAAAGTCAATGCTGGCTATCGCATTACTCTTCAGATATAAAGTTATGCACTGGCTTCCTGAAGTCTTGAGATGCAAACCTGAGTTTCTGGTGAAAGGTTTTATTTCTACTCCCAAGTTTTAGCAAACCTACATATTGTTCCAAGTTCCTACAAGTTTTTTTGTTTTTTTTTGTCTGGGGGTGCCCATTACTGAAAGCAAGAAACAACAGCAGCAATCTGAACCCAAAGAATGATATGGGCATTTGGGGGATTCTCAAAAGGTGGTTTATGAATCTGTCAAACTTAAGTGCAGATCATTCCTCTCAGTCAAAGCAAAATCTGTAAAGCACTGAAAACCTTTTTGCATCTCATTTTCACTCAGTTTAATAGTTTAATGTCACAAATATTTTGTAAGCTGACAAATGCAGGTTTCAGAAAGAGACGGAGGACAGCAAAGGGGTCCAGGTATGATACTTTTTATATTGTTGCATTCCTTTGTATTGCTTTCTTTTTGTAATTTACTTTGCCACTGAATTCTTCAGTTTCTCTTATGTATCAACATAAGAAATTACTCACTACAACTTTATTAAGTGTCAGTCGTACTGACATCAGATTTAGAAACAAGACTCCTACTATAAACTTTAAGAAGGAAAGAGGGAAGGAAATGCACTACTCAAACTACTTCGAAGATTCAGAAGAGTACTAAAATAATTTCAGTTTAGAGGGCACTATTTTAACTTAAATCATTGTGTCTAAAATTCTGTATTTTACACTGCATAAAACACGCAAAAAATTTCTGTAACATATTCATAGAACTTTAGGACTTATTAAAACTTTCATTATGTAAATAAGACAAATTTGAAGTAAGGAACTAATCAGGGAAGTATAATATTTTGGTTTATAATATTTCTCACTGATTTTATAAATTTTGTTTCTGAACACTGAGTGCCACAGAATCTGAAAATTAGTGCTTTTGTAATTCTACAGTCATTAAACGTGATCCTGATTGACCTGGGCTGCTGGTAACTCAATTCAGTATTTTTCCAGCAGACCATTGTTGGTCCATCTGTACATAAGAACAGAAAGTATGAGATCACTAAGTCTTCTGAAATGTACAGAGTGTACCAGGAGAGAACCACAGAGGAAATATAAATATTCAAAGGTTGCTTTTTTTAAAATCACTGAAATTCAGAAGCACAACCATATTTAAAAGAGTTTTCAAAAATTATACCACATCCCCAACATATATAAAGCAGCAGCTAATTTTCTACTGAAAGGAAAAGCAAATCCTCAGGGAAACTGCACAAATACTTCAAAGGGTCAAAACACTTATCAAAATTCTTGTCATCAGTGAGCAGAACTGTTTGTC